ACAGCCCAGCAACCGCAGAGGTGTGCTGGGCCTACAGCCTCGCCCACGCTGACCGCCGCGCCCAGCGCACTGCACGCTCCCTCCGTACTCCGGCTGCCGTCCCAGGCAGCCTAAACACCCAACAGACCTCAAGGTCCTTCATACAGACTCAACATCCGGTTGCCCAGCTCGCCGCTGACCACAGCCCAGGAGTCTGCTCTGTTCAGTCTGCGGCCGACATCCACACACAGTCCACCTTGTCCCTGCTCTCGTACCCTGCCCGGACACGCCTCCGAATCGAATCCAGCCATCCGCTGGGCTACACTTGGGCAAACCTCGTCCCTAGCAAGGGACACACACAAAGCTCTGTGAACTAGTCTTTCCATTTTATACCCTCCTTGTCCCCAGCTTGCCGCTTTCACGTCACCTGTTCCCAAGAAGGGTTGCGTCTCCCAGCGACTGAGCCGCGGCAAGGCAAGGCCGACTGCCGGGGTGAGGTCCCAGGGAGGCCACAGAGGATTAGCAGGGCTGAGCCTGAGCCCCCACTGCCGGGAGAGACATCTCAAAGACCAAGGCTCTCCTTGGCGAGCTCTTGCCTTTTCCTCCTGCTCCCGCAAGTCTCAAACACATGCCGAGAGTTCAGCTCTATAAATCCTGCTCCCCTTTCCCATATCATAATTAAAAAAAACCAGTAGGGGAGGTTTTAACTTTTATTGCGATTTCTAGAGTTGGGCTGCCGAGCATATATTAAGTTTACGCTTATGTGCTCTCGGCGGGGAGGGTCCTTTAAGAAATAAAAATCCATCTTAATATCCTCAGACGAGAGATAATTTTTTTCCCTCTTCTTCACGCTGTTCCTTCTGAAGACTCCCTTCCAGCGAAGCGAATAAATAATTACCATCGTCTTAGCCATGATCCACAGCCCCAGGGCCCCCGGGCTGGACTCTGACCATAAGACTGGCCCTCACCTTGGCCCTATGAGACATTGCTCCCTCTCTCCGGATCTAGGGAGGAGATCGCCCTGACCCCTGACTCTTTGGCCACCTCCTTTAAACCCATCATCTTTGAAATGGAAATAGCGGCAAAGGGACTCAAGACAGAGAAGCCCTATATTGACATAGTTCCACTCATAATTGACATATTTCGGCCCATCGGGGCGATTTCTCTAAGCCAATGTTCTTGAACACCTTGCTCCAGCCTGAGGCTCTCTGTACCCAAAGTCTGCAGGGATTCCAAACCAAGGGATCCCCTTATATATCTTCCACTACCAACTGATCTATTTTTTCTGAAAATCTTTCCCATTTCCCTGGGAACCATAGAAATTCCAATACTTTTCCTCCCACAAAGGGTTGGAGGACAGGTAGACCAACAATCCAGCTGGGAAAGGGAAAGTCTTTTCTCCTCCAATGACCATGGAAGTCTAAATAGATTAGAGAGAGAGAGAGAGAGAGAGAGAGAGAGAGAGAGAGAGAGAGAGAGAGAGACTGACATGCACACAGTTCCATCTCAGAGAGATTGAAGTATCAGAAAGCCTAGAAGGGACAGGTAGAAAAGAGACCTACACACATGTAAGGTCACATCGCTTTCTTCCTGGATATCAGGTTGGGAATTCAAAATTCTCTGTGATAGTTTGCTGGAGACATGATTGTATTTTGTATTCCCTGTTTTCATAACCATAATTATGAAAAGAGTCCCTAGACCCTGGACCCTGACCTCCTTTGGGTTTCCCCTTTCCAATGTCTCTGAAAACAGAACCCTCTGTCTCCCTTTTCTCCAGACCCCCATTTTTTTGAAGACCAAGGAACCTTTTCTTTCTTTCTTTCTTTCTTTCTTTCTTTCTTTTTTTTTTTTTTCTTTTTTCGATTCTTCTCTGCAGAAACCAAGGCCAGAACTGAAAAAGCCAAGCCGAGGGGAACACAGTGGAGGAAGTCTAAAGTTTCTCATTGCTCAGATCTCCCCCATTCTGCTTCCTAGAATCAGCCAACAGCCTTCTCAACAAAATGGAAACAGTGGGCCCACAGCATCTGTTTACCCAGACATTTCCATACAACACAAGGACAGCAAATGCCTAGCAGCCATAGACTAGCAGGCACAGAGACCAAGGCCTATCGGTAACAGACAGACAGACAGACCAGAGCTGGGCTTTTGCCCTCAACAGGGTGTGTTTGGGAAGGGTTCTACTTGGACTTGGTGTTTCTCCACTAACCTACTCACTTGCCGATTGTGTCTTTCCCCCTGGAGATAGAGCTATGGAATGAAGGAGAAGCCACTGTTTCAGAGTTTCCTAACTCTTGGAACAACACCCCCACTTTCCTAAGGAGCACTGCCCTCTCTCTAGAGGTGGCAGGGAGACACACTAACCTTTTCAGTGACTCCTTCCTCTTTCTGGGAGCTTTTCTCTCCTTTATTGACTCTGCCCCACCCTGTTGCCCAACTGAACTGGCCCACCAGGCCAAACTCAAACTCCAGCATTTCCTTGGAATTGGCTGGACTGTCTTTGTCTGTCTATCAACTGTGCTCAGGAGACAATAGCTACAGAGGGAAAGAAAAACCCTCTCCCTCAGTTGTAGACATTGGGACAGGCTGAGAAGGAGATGGCTGTAAAGCAGGGTTGCCCAGAATTTGTCCCATGGCCTCCACTCACAGCCTGACCTCCTCAGTCTGCACCCACTTTGCCCTTTCTGGAATGGGGATGGTAGGGCAGTCCCACGAGGAAGGAAAGGGTTAGGAAAGGTGAATTGGGGCCCTCGACGAAAACCGACTGATGTAACTCAGGCAGTTTCTTGTTGCCGAGTTCAAAACTCAATCCCAACAACATGAAACTACCTAAGCCACAGATCAGCTGAGCAAGCAGGGCCAGAATTTCAGGTTTGCATCTATCCAAAGGAGAAGGGAAGGGGCTTGGGGAAGGAAGAAATTCAGCCCGATCCCCTTTCCGCCCTCACAGTCTCCCTAAGGACTAGAGAGCAGACTTTGGGTGGTTAGGTGGGCAAAGGATGATTGCTCCATTAGTTTCTGGTATAAGCAAAATGCATTTGGAAAAACTGGTGAGATGGGATCTCTAGCGGCCAAATACCTGCCCCACCCCCAGTACTGCAGTAGAGCTATCCCCCTGCATCTGGTCCTGGCCCTGGGGGAAGCATGGTCATTCTTCCACTCTTGAGCTAGGTCCCCTGTCTTGTCCATCTGGCTCTCCTCTCCTCTGCTCCCAGACTCTTTCTGTCTCAGGCTTCTCAACAAGCATGGGTGTCTGAACCACAGCGCCTGTGCCTGTGCTCTGGAGCCACTTCCAATCAGGCCACTTGCCTGGCAAAAACCCCACAGCTAGAAAACACAGTACCAAGAACATGGGCAAGGCTCACGCCTACACCAGCAAAACCAAGAAAACACAAGCTTCAAGCTCCAACCCTTCTACCTTCCCCAACATACAACCAGACCAAGAGACACCAAAACTGATGGGTGGACCTCCAAACCTCCCTAAGTGCCTGCAATGATAAAGAAACCAAAAACCACCAATTTACCCCTTTAACCACCGAACCCCACAGCGGCAGTGGGCCGGGGAGGGGAGGAGAGGGAGCTTAGAGCCTTAGAGCGGCTGCCCTCCACTGCCGGCGATCAAAGGCAAATCCAGAGCTTTCAGCAAACACAGATGCCCAAAACGCCTTCCTCCTAGCTCTACCCGCTGCTCGCAGGGCACCTGGGGACCCTGTTAGTCCTCAGTCCACCTCCAAGAGAAGAACAAGAAACCGATTCTCTTACCTTGTCGCCGCCTCCTTCTTCTCTTGCTGCCGCTGGCGCTTCTGTTAGCTGCTGTCGAAGGAGGGTGAGGGGGGGTTGAGCTCCTCGTGCCCCTCCAGTGGTTAAGTTTATTCCTCCGTTTAGATGGGTGGGGGGTTCCTGAGGTGCCCCCCAGCAGTGGTGGGGTGCACCCAGCCCCCAGTACCGAAGGCAATCAGATCCATCTGCTCCTCAAGATTGCAGTTTGCTCTCTGCCTCTTTCCCTCCTCCAGTCACCTTTAAATGCATCTTTTACTGCAGTACCACATTATATTTGCAGATCATAAAATCCACCTCTCGCGCGCACCAAGACCGTCCTGACATTACTGTTTTATGACCTTGACTTATTGTGGTCACCTGGATAATATTTAAATCAACGTTATGGTCTCTCACTTACATTAAACCCGCCAAGAGACATTCTGGAAAGGCTGTAGGAGATGAGTCAAACACAAAACACACACATATCCACACACTCAGTGTTTTGGGGGGGAGGGGTGTCGCTAAAAAGCCACTAAAAACAAAAAACCACCCATTTGAGGATTAAGATTCCGGAAATTTATTAGGATTTTTTTTTTCTCCATTAAGGAAGCTACATGCAAAAGATACAACATACAGAATTTCCTTAAATAACACAACTCCCAGAAAGGGACAGGACAACTTGGGGGGGTTGTCTTTACTTCGCTATGTTCTATTTTTAATATTTTTGTTCTTCTGGATGGAATTTCTGAGATGTTAGTAAATGGGAGATGCAGAGTTCTGGGAGGGTGGGAGAAAAGCAGAAAGCAGTACAAATACTTCAAGCAGATTCTCAGAGCCACGGGAGGGAAAGACAGGGAGGGTTGGGTCTAGACACTGGGTGCTATGACAAACACACAAATACTAGGCAAACTTTCAAGACTGTCTATTATTCTAAGGGAGGAAATGCTGCACAGGAGGGAGCAATTCTGACTGTGCTCTCCGAGACCCTCTCTGGTTGTTTTTCCCCCTTTCTTTCCTCTATAATAGGGTGGATTCGATCTTAACTTCGCATGGAAAACAGAATGCTGTGAGTGCATGGGTGAGTGAGGGATTGACACACACACCAGCCACACTCCCACCCCATCTTTAAGGGCACACACAACACCCCAAAGCCCAGCACCCCATTTCTCATGCTTTAGCTGGAAGCGTCCTTGCAGCACAAACCATAGGTCCCTTGGAAGGAGAGTCTGAGGTCTTTGCCTTTTTTTTTTTTTTTTTTTTTTTTTTTTTGCAGGCGCGTTGCATTTATACTCAGGGAGGGGAAAAAAAAATATCACCAGGCACAAAGGGAGGAGGGGCGGGGAAAGGAGAGAAGGGGAGGGGGAGGAGATGACGCTGGCTCAGGTGAAATTAAAATTGGAGGTCAGTTCCCGGATCCGATTCTCTCGGTTCATTTTCTTGAGTTTCATTCTGCGATTTTGAAACCAGATTTTGACTTGTCTGTCTGTAAGGTTAATGGTCTTGCTAATCTCCAGGCGGCGCTCTCGCGTCAAATACATATTGAACAGAAATTCTTTCTCCAATTCCAGCGTCTGGTGTTTAGTATAGGGGCACCTCTTCTTCCTTCCACTCTTTGCTGTCAGCCAATTTCCTGTGGTGTTTTCTGCTTTTATCTCCTCTGTTAAAAATAATATTGTTTACATAAGTATCCCTGGAAGAAGCAAGCCCTCAGGATATAGCTTTTGGAAAAAGCCTGTTTGGGGAGAGGGTGGATGGAGAGGCACTAGGAACTATTCTAGCCTCACAGGCCTCGAGGCAGGTTCTCTTGAGCTTTTGGGATTTCTTAGAGGTCTAGATTTACAGGGATGAAAAAGAAGAGGCTCTTACCCTCAAAGTGTTTACTAAATTTAAATTAGTCAAGCCCACCTTAACCTAACAGATTCTGAATGCCTCCCCTGATCCTGGTGCTTGTCTTAAACCTCCCCAGGCTTTCCTTCAACTCTTTTCTGCTCTAGATCTTGAAAAATCCAGCCACACAGAAAAAGCATCTTCAGTGAGGTCTACCCCACAACTCAGAGTCATTTCCCAGAGAGCTTTGGCTCCTTTCTACTCTGTGGAGGTATTCTGATCCTGTCTCTGCAGCTAAAGACATCTCAGGAGTCCCTTCACTAGGCCCCCAACTCTATTTCCACCTGAATTGCCACAGGGTTGCTGTCTTGTTAGAGCTTCCTTTTGCTACCCTCTTCTCTCCTGACCATCTGCTTCAGGTGTAGCTGAGGCAGAGAAGCCTGACTGAGCAGAAGGGGTCAGGGGCAACAGTTCTGAGGCATGCTGAGGGATCCTCAGACAACTTCCTCTGGACCAGAGGATTTAAGGTCAAGGAAGAGAGACATGCTAAGGTATTGCCACCCCCTAGAGTCTATGTGAAGGTAGATGTGTGTTTTCAAATACACACAAACATATACATCTGTATACACAGGAAGGGTATGGATAAATGCCTGCATATATGAAAAGATACCATAATGTGTGTTTCCATGATCTTATTGTTAGTTTCTCTTTCTAGTATTCTTGTTGAAATGGATCAGCCTTGCTCTTCAGGTAACAGAAGAGAACATAGGCACCCTTTAAAGGGGGAAATATAGAGTTCAAAGACTAGAAAGCCATTGGTACCTAGTAAATAACTTTGCTGACAGCTCTGTATGCATCCTGCTTCCTTTATTCTTTATGCCAAATGTGGCTTCTGGGTCCTGGATTTTGTATGGATTGGTGGTGAGGTGAGGTGAGTTCCCTGGGATAGTCAGGAAACAGTGTGTGTGTGTGTGTGTGTGTGTGTGTGTGTGTGTGTGTGCAAACTTGAAGCTATAGTCTAGAAAATGTCAATGTCTTTAATTAGTCTTCAATCTCTGCACCTGCAGCTTCTTGCCAAACTGTTTACAGGCTCTCCACCCCTAACTCTGTCCTGTTTATTTTTTATTGGGGTTGTTGGGTTTTAAGAGGAGGAAAAAAATTACAAATGGACCTTAGCCAAAAGCTCTTTGCCTCTGGCCTGGTGGAAATACCAAAAAGGGGTGAAGGAAAGGGAGAATACAAAGAGCAACCTCTGGGTGTTAGTTTAGGATAGGAGGGCTTGGATTGTTGGGGGACAAGAAGAGGGCATCTTTCAAAATGGGCATAGTTTGGGTTCAGAATGTGGACTTGCTAACATTGACTTTGCTAAGACAAAGTTTTTTCTACCTTAGTCCTCTATCCCAGTCCAGCTCAGGGTTTACGATGAGGGGATAAAATTAAACCTTCGCATTCTATATGTGCCATAAGGACATGTGTGTGATATGGGTGCCTGATTCCCTCATCTTCACAAGCACGCACAGACACAGTCATCTGGTCAAAGTCTCTAAGGACTTATTTACCAAGGCTATCTTTGCAGAGCAGACCCAAGTGGGTAAGGCTTTGCCCTTGTGCACACCAAAAGAGTGTATGTGTATGTATGAGTGAGTGTGTGAGGAATACGAGGTGTGTGTGTGTGTGTGTGTGTGAGAGAGAGAGAGAGAGAGAGAGAGAAGTCATGGCAGACATGAGTGTGCAGTTGCATCCACATACAAAGCACCACACACGAGGTTCAAAACACCCCCAGCCTGATTCACTCTCAATATTTCATCTGCGTCTACACCAATGGGTCAACCTCATACACCACCACCAGGAGCCAGTGTCTTAGGGAGAGGGTTTATCCCTCCCTATTGGGCCTTTTCTGATTTTTTTTTTTCCTCCAAACTTTGTAGGGAAAGTCATTGCCCTCAACATCCCAATCCTGTTCCTGTTTCAAACTCTGCAGTCCCCCGCCCCAGGGTCCTGAAAGGCCCCTGTTACAGAAGAAATGGATCTTGGACCCTGAGCTTGAACTTTGACTGAATATTTTTTCTTGAACCAAAAATCACAAAGAAATCCAACCAATGCATCACTCCTTTTCAGGAGTAAACCGCTTGCCATGCACGCAGAAAATTTCCAACCATTCACTTATAAGCTGCTTTTGAAAACCAATGGGGGAAAAAAACATAACTTGAAAAAATAGAGAAGAGAAAAAATTTAAAGATCAAGAAGAAGAAGGAGAAGAAGGAGAAGGAGAAGGAGAAGAAGAAGAAGAAGAAGAAGAAGAAGAAGAAGAAGAAGAAGAAGAAGAAAGAAAGAAAGAAAGAAAGAAAGAAAGGAAGGAAGGAAGGAAGGAAGGAAGAAAGAAAGGATGAAAGAAACATTTCCACTGCCCCGATCCAAAACCTCACACCCAGCATCTGGAGGAGGGAGGGATGTGGCGGGCAGCCCTCCACCTCCACCTCTTCCGGCCTCAGCCTCGCTGCCCAAGGCCCTTGTAGAGACAGAAATCGCAGGGGCGCAAACTGTATGCACAAATCGGACCCACAAACAACAAATTGTGTTTCGTAGGAAACAGTTTTCCAACTAGGAAAACGCACTGAAGAGAAATTACTCATCTCTAAGCCTTCTTTGGTCCCTGGCCCAAGGATCGCCATTTTAAGCTTGTGCGCTTTGACCTGTGCTGGGGACATAAGCCCCCAGGACACCCTCACTGAAAAAGCCAACCAAAGCCATCAAAGCCAACCACGGATCTGGTGCAGCACAGGGTATCCGCAAGCTGCCTGTAATGTTCACTTCCTCTGCCTATGCACCCAAAGGCCGAGCTAGCCTGGCACCTCCATGTCGCCTTTTACCTTCCCCTGCTAAATGACACACCACCAGTCTGGCGCTAAGCAAACAGGACCTTCATGCCCAAGTCAATTCAGAACCCTCGAGTTCCCTAGGCCTCTGCTCAACCCTCTCTTCCTGCTTTGAGTCCTGACCACGAAGACTAGTGCTCCCAGCGTCCCAGCCGGCCCCGCGGCCCAGATGGCCTTACCTTTAGCTTCATTATCCGAGGTGTCTGGGCTGGAGTCTGCGGTCTTTGCCCGTTCCTTTTCGCTCTCCGAGGGGCTGCCTTTTGGACCCGCCAGACTTTGCTCCGTCTTGATCTCATTGGGACTGGGGGTCTGGCTGTCGGACTTGGGGGTCTCGGAAAAACTCACTTTGCCCCCAAGCTGAGGCGATTCCAGATGTTCGGTGCGCGGGTTGAGACTGGCCCGCTGCTCAAAAGGGGCTTCGAAGTCGTTGGCTCCTGCACAGTGGGGCGTTTTGTCCAGCGCCGCCGAGTAGCTCGGGCTGGCACGATAGTAGCTGGGTACAGGTACCTCGTGCTCCCCAAGACAGGACTCCGGCAGGGGGTGGGAGTAGAGAGCTGCCTCGGGAGCACTTTTCGCCCGCTTCTCTGCACTGTACATGCAGCAGACATTCTCCTCCTTGACACTAGGTGGGTAGGAGCAGGAGGACAGAGGCCTGCCAACAGGTTGTTCCAAGCGGTAGGTGGCTTTGGGGTCGCCCCAGGAGTCCAGCTGCGAGAGGTAGGACGGATAGGTGTTGAGGGCCAGGTTGGGGCTGCTGCCCTCATCCCTCTTGGAAAGCGAGGGCGCGAGCCCGCAGCCCCTCATCACCCCGCAGTTGAAGTCACTCCCAGATTGCATATACATTCCTGCGCTCCGGTTATAGCGCTCTCCTCCTCCCGGCGCAGCCAAGGGCTCCGCGTACGAGTTCGGAGTTACATTGCGAGGGCATGTCATTTTCAGAGAGAGGGCTTTTTAAGGAGCAATACTACAGCGGAGGAGCTGACATCTTTTTTCCCCCATCCGGGAAGGGGGGGGCGGTTGGAGGGGCGGGAGGAAAAAGAAGGGGGAGGGGGGAAATATCAGCTCCATAATTATCCGCGCATTCGGTCCTCACCATGTGACGGCTAGACCAATGGGATTTGAAAATGGCCTTGATGATTCAGACGGCCGTGACGTCAGCGGGGTCAAGTTGTCGGCAGGCGGAGCGCGCAGCGTGGAGTAACAGCGCCACCTAGCAGCTGCCTCGGGGTAGGGGCACGGGAGCCCTTCCTGGCGAACAAAGGAAGCGCCCCCGGGCTGCAGGGGTGGTGGGGTGGTGGAGTAGTGGTGGGGTGGGTGGAGGGACATGGGGTTGTTCTGAGAAGAGTGGGGCTTGTTTACTAGAGAACCAGCTTGTGACTCCTGGGGGACAGGGGGTGGAGAGGGGGAAAATGCGGGAGAGAGTGAGGCAACCAGGCCTCATAACAGTCAAATTCAAATTAAAAGGTCAAGACAAGATTCAGGTACTCCTTCCCATCTCTTCACCTTCCACTCCCCTCACCTCATACTCCGGTTTTTCTCTTGGGTTGGGAGCCGGTTTCTGCTTTGGGGGAGGAGGGAAGGATCTCCGGTTGGCTCAGGATGGAAGAGAAAGTTAAAAAATCAAAAGCAGGACTAAAGTTTCTGCTGTCCTGACTCCTGGTTCCTTCAGCTTGGACCTTGGGCCTGGGAGCGCTGTACCACAGGTCTTGGAGTTTGGTTGAGTTTCAAGTTCCTTGTGGAGACTAACTGAGAATCTCCAGTGTCTGGAGAGGGTCCCGGAAACGGGTCGCGGCCATCTAAGGCATTCTGGGCAAAAAAAAAAAAAAAAAAAAAAAAAAAGAATCCTGGTAGACTTAGGGACCCCTGGAGGAGGAAGCTGAAGACTAGAGGTACCCTTTCTCCAACCCTGAAGTTGCAGCCTGGGCCCTCCTGGATGAACAACTCTGGCCTCTGGGCTTTGGCCTTGGAACCGGCTTAGTGGGGTATTTTACTTCGTGCCCCAGTGGCCTTCATTTTCCCTCTTGACCTTGGCCCTACTAAAACAAGGAATGTTTCTGAATATAACCTGCAGGCCTTAGCTGGGTTGGAGGATTTGCCACGTACGCATGCGGGAAAGGAGCACAAGACTCAATTAAACCTCACCCGAGAAGAGTTCTTTTTAAGCCTCTGGTTTTGGAGTATTTTAGAGAAGAGAGGACAGTCTAGTGTGTGTGTGTGTGTGTGTGTGTGTGTGTGTGTGTGTGTGTGTGTGTGTGTGTGTGTTTGTGTTTTACTAAAAGGAAGAAGCAGGGGGAAACGTGTGTTTAAAATATTTCGTTCGAATTCTCCATCACCTTTCTTCCAAAGCGAACTAAACTCTCCACCCCTTCCTCAGGAAACGGAATCCGGAGAATAACTTGTCTTTCCGGCAGCCCGGCATTTTTCCCCAGGCAGAGGCTGTGGGCTTTCCTTTTCCGAAGGACCAGAGCCTGGCTGGGAAAGGATTCCAGGGCCGAGCACAGTGGCATGGATGAGTGAAGAAATGACCTGTTTCTGGAGGCCCCAGCCGGCTGTGATGGAAGAGGACTAAGGAAAGAATTGTGCCCTGAATTCCCCCAACTAAGGGTGGAAAAGAAGACCCAGGGGTCCCTTAATTCCAGGGGGGAAAATACTCGAAAGATCCGTGGAGTTTGCGACTTACTTACAGGCCGGCAGGGGAAACCTGAAATAGTTTTGTGTTTTCATTTGCAGAGGTCGCCCTGGATTCAGCCTGGGGGTTATCCAGGGCAAGGTTAGGCTGTTTAGGCCCCAGACCAGACTTGGGACAGTCCCCAGCAGCAGTCAATCGAGGCAGCCATTTGTTCCACTGACCATCCCGCGGGAAACAGCCGAGACTTTATGGCCACTCTGTTTGTATTATCTGCATAAGTCTTTCCCCACGAGTTTGATCGAAACCGTTCCCTTTTACGAGGACCCAAAGAAAATTTCCCGTCATATTTATCAGCTGGGGATAAAAATTTAGTATGGGAACTGATATTTCCTCATTTATGGGACGATGAAATTAAAGACCAAAGCAATTGAGAATTATATGGCTTTGGGGTTTCCCTCCCCCTCTTTCACATCTCTTTTATTTTCCTCCATGGTGTGACTGTCCCTGGAGTCTGTCCTCTCAAAACCCTGCCCTTGTCCCCTGTTTTTGGAGTTTGGTAGGGTCCTTTCTCCAACAGCCAGGTGCAGCTGGGCTAACACAGCTCTTCTCAGCTTTTATCTCAAGGATAGGAACTAGGGAAGGGGGCAGGGTCTCCATGTAGACCATGGTATGCTGGTTGGATAGAAGGTTTTGAGGGAAGAGCTTTTCAGGGGACAGTAGGATTGGAACCCAGCTGAGAGTCAGAAAAGGATGAAGTCAACAAATTCTAGAATAATCCTCAAACAGCATACTCCCTGACATCAATTGGCTGGCTACCAAGAGAGAAGCAAAGACATTCAGCTTCTGGGCCTCTCTCCCCTACCAGCCAGACCCACCCCCCCAAGCCTAACTCTAACCTCAGCCATGGGAGGGAGGGGAGTTATTTCAGGATTCTTAACATTATTAGTGGAAATAATACCCTCAAGAGAAAAGCTTCCTGCTTCAACTCCCACCTCCTCACAAGAATGAATAGTGTTTAAAGTTGAAATAATTAGAAGTATGATAAACACGGCCCATTAATGAAACAAGAAATCAAATTCATCAGCCTAAGTAGGACCCCCGTTGGGACAAATGTTTGCCTCTAATTACTCAAGATAAACGAAAACCCAGCACTGTTAAGCCAGAGCCCGTTGGCTTGCTCGGACACAGAAGTGACTAACTTGTTGGCTTTTCCAAGATTTTGGGATCTGACTTAATGGAGGTAAAAGGAAAAGAAGAAGGAGGAGGAGGAGGAGGAGAAGTAGAAATAGTAGTAGTAGTAGTAGTATTAAGGACGCCACCGGGTAGAGTCCTGTCTAGCCTGGGTCCCAAGCCCTGCCCCCTTGGGCTTGCCTTTCCTGAGGCCACGAGCAAAGGCAGTTTCCGTCCTTATTGTCCGGGCCTGGCGTTCAAAGGCATGTGTGCCGCCTCAGCCACCCGATCTGTTGCCACTGCCAGGCGCCCACTGGCTTTACCCAAAGGGCACCTTTGGCAACTGGAGTGGGTCCCAGGGGAAGTCTGTTGCTAAAGTCATCCGCATACATTCTTCTTCTTTTGGATGTCTCCTCAACTTCCCCCACTGCAGACAGCCCTGCACCTAAACCTCACTCTAGATCTCCCCCTTTCCTTACCTTAACAAGGAAGTGAAAATTCCGGGGGGCTGCAGGACAAAGTGGAGCTCAGGTTGTGCCAATGTCTCAATTAATCCCACCCACCCTAAGAGAAAGGCTCAGGCCCCTTTTATTCTTCCCGTCCCCGGTATCCAGATACTGAAGGGCAGCCCTGTTGAGCTGCACTGGGCCGCCTAGGCCTCCTGCGGCCTTTGGGTCGGTGAGCAAAGGAGGAGAAGAGGGTTCAGGAGCTACTGACTGGCTCCAGAAGGGCAGATACCCTAAGGGTCACTGTGAATGGATAGGAATGAGGCCGGGCTCTTTTCAGCTGATGCTTTCAAATAGCCCCAGCAGTACCCTATTTCCTCCTCTGAAAAATTGTCGGAGTTTCCTTGAGAGGTTAAGAATGATCTGGGAAATTCTGAAGATGATGAGGAAGAAGGAACTGTGCATCTCCTTTTGGAATAAAAATAATTAAATACAGTTAAAAATGTACATACTGAAATCTCTTCAAGCAAAATGGAAAACAAAATCACACCATTGACTATTGGGATTTTCTTCTTGTTTTGGAGGCCGAGATTAATCGTTCTTCTTCCAAATCTTGAAGAAACAATTCGCTTTTCTTCTAGAGCACCACTTGAATTGAGAGCAGGGAAACTCCAAGCAAAATGTGGGATGCTCAGAGGTTCAGGGGGGAAAAGGTTTCAAACAGGTAAAAGAGGTATGAAGCTGAGGGCCGATAAAGAGCTTCTGTTCTACTTCGGATTTTGCAGCCACCCAGGCAGGCAGCGCCGCCAGCGGACTCGCTCTCACATCTAGACATTTATACACTTACACACAGAGGCTCTATAGCGTCCAGCTTGCACTTAATTGCTTGTCCACAGCCTCAAATATTCACTTGTATCCAAAGCGTTTCCTGTGATCCTTGAATCCTGAAGTTTCTTATCCTGCGTCAGCCGGACCGCTTCCAGGCCCTTCTGAAACCAGTTATTTAACCTTGCCTATGGAATCGAAACCAGACCGCGCAGACCTCAGAGAGAGGAGGAGCCCAAAGGGAGGAGGTCTTGGGGGGGAAGGCCTTGGTCCCCATTTTAATGGTTTGTTTCTGAGTTGCCTCCGTAGGTTAGGTCAGGTTTCCAGTCAGTTTAGACTGGTTGGGCCGGCCTTGCTCCTGAGGGTAAAAAACAGGATCCTCCTTCACTAGCTAAATTTCTTTTCAAAGGTTGTTTATTTCTTTTCTTCTGCTTCCTTTTTCTTCCTTTCTCTCATTTTTCGTCTTTGTCCTTTCTCTTCTTTTTCTTTTTTTTTTCTGTAATTTTTCTATATTTTCCCTCAAGACTTCAATTTGTTGTCTTGTTTCCTCCTTTCCTTTTTTCTTCTTTATTATAAACTTTACCCTTTGCTTTCTTCAGTTCCTTGCTGCCCCTTGACTTTTAATCCCCCACCCCACCCCTGCTTACTTTTTTTTTTCCTGTTGTTCTGGGTTATGTGAATAGGAAAATAACAGGCTGGGTCCATGCCTCCTCATTCTAGTTACTACAGCTTGAAGTTGACCTTCTGCCTTCAGTCTCAGCTCGGCTCCTCACAAGACGAAGTGTATAACAGTTAGCCAGCAGAGGTGGCCAGGCCTCAGAGTCGCCATTAGAGAGAAGGGAATGCTGACTCAGAGGCACCTTCCCATCCATGCCAAAGGCTCCGTGAAATGCCAGGCTCCAGGGGTCCCATGTCATCTTCATTTCCAGCATGCAAAGGAAACTTGGTCCAGCAGATCCATAATTAGAGAAAAGCTCCTTTATCTTTGTTCTGCCTCCAGAACTGAGCACTAAATAGACTAAAGTTGAACGTGTGTTCTCAGCGATAGAGTTAGAAGAATTGAGAGAGTGGGGGGTCTGTCAGTTACAGGTAGAAGGCAGGTCCAAGGGAGCATATGTAAGTTGGCATTCCAAGGCCATGTCTCTACACAAGTACTTTTGTTCTCTGTAGAGGACTCAGGAGACTGGAGCACTTTGGGCCACTGCCTCCTTTGATTCTACAACAACTGCAATCTCTAGGCAAGAATTTCCTGATCGTTTGGATTTTTTTTTTTTTTCCTTAAACCCCAAAGGCAACAGGGATAGGGCTATATGGGCAGAAGCCCCCGCCCCCAAATTAGGTGTTTGAACCAGGATTACATGACTTCTCTATTCCAAGAAGAGGGAAGAAGAGGGTAGAAGGGGTGTGTGAGTGAAAGATGGACCAGACACACACAGAGAGATGACAGAGCCTACAAGAAAACAGGCTATAATGGGGGAAGGTTTGTCATACTGCTGATGTTTTACAAGTTTGAGGGATCTGTAGAGTGGATAGGGCTGTCCTGAATGCTGGCAGCTTCTGTTTGCTGACAGTTTCCAAACCCAGGTACAAACAGAATGGACTGGCCTGACTATCAGGCTTTTTTTTTTTTTTTTTTTTTTTTTTTTTGCCTTCAGCAAAGAAAAGTACCCCCTTACACGTATGATGAAGCCTCAGGGTTCATCTTTCTCTCCTCCTTCTCAAGAATTTCATCCTGTGTCAAGACCTAAACTAAGCTTTTTCCCCCTTCAAGGAGGGAGACTCTTGTAAACCTTTTATGCCAAACAAAGTTATAAAAACTTCCAGGGCGTTGCCTTTTCTAAAGGTTTATATGAATAATAAAGAGTGTAGTCGCGTGCACAGGATACTGGCCAGCTCTGGGCAGGAAAGGATTAGTAAACAGCATTATCCATCCCTAGAGCACCAGGAAAACCTTGGAGCTACCCACTTCAGGAATATTGGCCTGTAGAGGAATTGCCTTACAGATTCCTAGGAGGGGCTGGAGGGTTGGGGTGAGGGTAGTGCCCTTGACTCCCTTGAAGTTCAAAGTTTCTCCTTTGCTTTCTTGAGGAAAGGCCTCTCCTGTCAGCCTTCTCAAGAAATGAACCCCTTTCCTTCTGGTTAACTGGTTATGGGTAGCTCCAGCTCTCTTCACTTTTGACCACCTGGTCTGTAGCTTTCTTTCCTCCACCCTCCCTCCCCCAGCAAAGCTTTCCAGTCTTTCCATCTGGGAAACCTAGAACCCAGGGGCTCTGGCTCAGAATGGGGGTGGTAGGCCCACCTTCAAGGCTCCTCTGCTTTGCATTTTCCCAGCCACCTAGGGTCTGAGTGACAAAGAAACGCCAAATCCAAAGCTACTTCCAACCCATTTCTCATTTCAAGCACCCCTGACTCCCCTTGTACCCCCAAAGCCCAGAGTGGAAAGGGGGTGGGGCCCAGAGAGCTCTCAGCCCACACCACTTAATACCCTTGTAAACTCCCACGTGCGCTATAAACTTGGATTTTTACAACCAACATTCCTCCTTTAGCTCCAGGAAACTTTGAACTCGGCCTCTGGTTTATTTACTTGGGGGGGTGGGGAGCTGGGAGCTGAGAAAAGCTGGAGGAAAAGAGGGAAAATATGGGGCAAAGGGATGATGGGGTGTGGGGCCTGGGGTGTGTTGGAAGAGCCTAGACCATCCACTGGGGGTTTGTTTACAGTTTAGGACGGAAGCATTTTCTAACACAGGCCAGACTGGGTCGTTAAGGGCGAAATGAAACTGGGTTTAGAGGCTCGGGGACGCTTTATGGCGGCGTCTAGACTGCGATCTTTTGTTCCAGGGCAGAGTTGCGGCTGGAGGGGATTACCCCAAGAGGTTGCGCCCAGAGTGTCCCTGCCAGCAAGGGGGGTTGGACATCTCAGGAGTTTGAAGGTGGGGTTGCTTGGGGGCCAAAGACCCTCTTTTTTTTTTTTTTTTTTTTAAGAAGGTCGCTGCAAAATGTCAGGTTCTTGGGTTCAGATCACACAAGCCTTTGTTTTTCTTTCATGACAACTCTCATCCTTCAGAAATCTCTTTTCGAAGAGATTCTTTTCTGGGTTGTGTATTTGTGGGAAAGTGATAACTACAAGTTTTAAATATTCTTTTCCTCCAAAATCAAGAGTCCTTGGATGCTAATAGTTTCCTTTTCAAATTGGTTTGTTCTATGGTTGTCTGTTATTATATAGAAAATATGGGTGGCAAGCTAATAGACCCTGTATAGCTGGATATAGTGGATAGACAACACATCTCAAGAAATCCCCCCCTCTCATGCACACACAGAGGACTTTTAGTTGTATTCCTGTCTACATTCATGAAATACTGACAGTGTTCACACACCAGGGAGGATATAAGCTGTGTTCACCAAATCACATTTGTCCCATGCACAAAACATACGACTCCTCTACTCCTCGTGTGCACACATAAAGACACTGACTGCCTTGAATGATAAAATTTTCTGTGGGTGAGCATAGAAAAGATTGTGAGCCACAATACACCCAAGCTGTCAAATCTCAAATAGCCACACTTAGAAATTAGAGATCCAGATTATCTAAGCTCCTGGAGTCTCTGCCATCAACAGAAAGAGCAGTGTCTATACTTGAGACCCAGGGTGCCTCTCCTTTCATCCAACAATGCATCATGGATGAAAACATTTTCTTGGAATTCCATACACAAAGACAGAAGGAAGATGAGAGAATTGGTCTTGAACCTCTTACCTCAAATAAAATTTGAAGAGATGGATGAATGTCCTTACTGAAGAACTGAAATGATTTAGTTAACTTTTCACAGAAGAAACACAGGCAGCAAATAGAGATTGGTGTGAAGACTCTCCCCATAGGTCACCTCCTTCCCCAGTGCCCTTCTCCTTGCTAATGTCTACAAAACACATCTCTGGGACTTTTTACTCAGGGGCATGCAATGTATAAAAGTCAGGGTGGCCCCAGCCTAGGCATCTGTTTCTGTCTGGAGGAGCTTGACCATTTGGGCCATAGGAGAAGGGGAAGGGGATGGGCCTCACCTTCCCACTCCTAGAGGCTATGAATAAAAGACAGGGAGGGGGTTGGTTTGCCCTCTTCTCCCCCCTTCCTTTAAAACTGTATATTTAAATTTCAGCGAGAGAGAGAGAGAGAGAGAGAGAGACCCCTACTCTCAGCTCTACATATTTGACGGGCAACAGACAGAAACATCTGGCAGGAGGGTGGTTGAGCCAAGAAAATTCCTATAAATTTAATTTTGATGATGGTTACAATTAACTCCATAACAAACCTGTACTTAAACACAAAGCATTGCTGGGCATTTGGATACAGCTCGAGTTGCTTGTGAGAAAAAGGAGCTTAGGAATAACCATAGCTCTACTTTGCTCCAGAGCTGGAGCAGTCTCTGACAACCTTTTACCCCAGACAGTGGAGCTGAGCACCAGTGTCCCAGCACTGGCCTGCCTCACCTGCAGGCTCTCACCAGCAAGCTCTCCCAACAGTGGCAGCCTCCTCCTCTTCCTCCTCCCCTACCGCCTCTGCCACCCACCACCACCACCATCACCTCCTCCTCTGCTGTCTTTGGAGCGCAGGGGGTTTTAAGAGGAGAGGGATTAATAAAAAGGTCAAATAAAATCATAATATTGAACAGAATGAAATATCTTTATTTGCCACCAAAAAAAAAAATCACAGCAATCCCTTCAAGATAAGAGTAGGGTGGGGATTGCACATGTACACACGCACTCACGTACATGGACAGAGATGGACGATTAGAATCTCACTCCGGTTCAGCCTCCCCCTTCCTCTCCAGGTAGAAAGGCTTATGAAATTTACAAAAATTCAGGCCCCAGCTAGGGGGAGGTGCTCAACCCCATTTTCCTATGCCTCCTCCACTCCACAACCGCATAGACTAGCAATAAATCCAAGGGGACACTGCTTGGGGAAAGGTTAGAACACCTCAATGCACCAGTTAGGAGTTTTCAAAAGAGAGCTCTACACATTTAGGGCAAGACGGGGCCAGGCGCAGACGGAGGTAGGATTTGGACTTTGCACACCTAACACCAGGTCAAAGGTATAGGAATTTCACAGCAAGGGAGGATCACAGTTAGCAGTCCCCCTAACCCAGGGGCAAGACGGGGTGGGGGCGGGGAGCCCAGGAGGTCTCATAGACAAGGTGGCTCAACAGATCTTTTTACTTGGGCTAGAGTTCAAGGATTGTTCGGCTCTAGCGCCCACTGTGCTCGCCCCTCCCCTCATCCAATCCAAGCAGCAAGACTTTGTTGCAAGGTGTATTTTCTTTTAAATAAACAGTCTTGGGGACTTGGCGCCAACAGGGTCCACTAGCCACGGGTCAGACACTTCCCTCACGCCTTTTTCCAGGACGGGTCTCTGACCCTATAGTGAATTAAACCGAGGCGAAGGAGGTTCTGGAAGCGCCAGTAACGGCAGTGGGGGGCCAGCCCTGGCCACAGTCCAGTTTTCCACCCGCGGAAAAAAAGACGAGTTAGAAAATAAAATAAAATAAAATAAATTTTCCTCTTTCCCTCCCCCTACCCCAAAGGGCTAGGTCTGCAGTTACAGCAGCGGATTTCCTGAAAAATACTGCAGCCGGTCTCTGCTCAGTTTTTTTTCTTTCATCCTTCTGTTCTGAAACCAAATTTTCACTTGTCGATCAGTCAGGTTCAGCATCCGGGACAGCTGCAGCCGCTTCTCTTTGTTGATGTACACGTTGAAGAAAAACTCTCGCTCCAGTTCCCGGATCTGGAATTTCGAATAAGGGCAGCGCTTCTTGCGGGTGCGGGGGGCGTCTGGAGGGAGAGGAGGGGGCAAGTGCGAGGAGAGGGGAGAGAGACACGTGAGACCCCGGGCGACCCCAGCGGACCCCAGACGCTGAACGCTCAGCAGCTCTGCTCCCAGTCCCGCGGCTGGGCAGCCCTCCCCCTAGGCCGGCAGCTCTTCTTCCGGAGCCCGCTTTGCTGAGGCAAGCCTCGATCCCACTGTCAGGTCTAGCTTGGTCCACTGAGAGCCTGGTGACCCCTGCTCTTCAGGCCAGAACCCTAGCTGACAGGGTCTGCGGGTGGAGGAAGGCCTGCCTGAGCCACGTGCTTTCCCTGGGGGTGCCCTGACTGCTCCTCCACGCCGCCCTTGCCCCTTCCGAGTGGCCCTCCTGAAGAAGCTTCTGCAAGTCCATGATCCCACCCCCGCCTCCTCCAGAAATCGGAGGGAGCCGCGGAGAATCGGCGCAAAGGATTGAATTTAGGAGAGAGCAGTGGGGAATCCGAGGGGAAAGCAGCGAGTAGAGATAGCTGGACACACGGGAGCCTCCAGCCAGGCCCTGGCTCCCCGGGACGCCCCGCAGCCTGCCAGCGGGTCGGCTGCACACTGCCTGGGCTGGGCCTGCCCAGAGGGCGTAGACCCAGGAGAACCAGCGACGCCCTCAGCTCAGGGGAGCTCCGATCTTTTCTCCACTTCCTATCACCGCCAAACCCGGCTTGCCCGGATTTCTATTCAAAGACCCGCGAGCATGTAATATGAACATTAAAAAAAAAAAAAAAAAAAAAAAGTCGTTTTAAAAAGAAGCGGAACTGCCTTGGAGCGCCTCTCTGGGTTTGAGTTCTGCCTCGTCCCTTCTGTCCCTTACCTCTCCCCCCTCTGGGTTTCACCCGGTCTGTCCCTCGCCCTCCCCCTTTCCCCCTCTACTCCTCCCCTCCCTCCCACCCCCACCCCCGGCAGGCAGCCCTTCTCCCCATCCTTTCTTAAACGCTCCTCTAAGTTCACGATCAAAGTTAATATCGTCCGCAATGGTGGCACTTTTAAAAATTTCACAGACCGAGGGAGATAACGGAGGAGGGGGGCTCACCCGGCTTTTCCAAAGAGCCCCTTTCCCTCCCTCCCCACCCCTTCTTCATCGTAAAAAGTCGAGTCGTTGGGAGAGAGGGCTTTGTAGGTTATAATAAAATCCTTTGAATGCTTATAAAACTCCACATAAAATAGGACTGACCCAAAACACGAGGCTGTCCGCGCTCCCCTGGCCTCCCCCCCCCTACTCCAGCCCTCCCTCTCCGCTCCCTCCCTCGCTGCCCTCGGGTTCCCGGCCGCCGCTACCTACTGGGGGCGGCTCCCTTGGCCGGCTCCTTGGTCGCTGAGTGGGCAGAACCAGACGAGCTTGGATTCGTATTCTCCTCCTCGGCCTCGGCCTCAGCACCGGCCTCGGCCCGGGACGCCAGTCCCGAAGCCGGGGGCGCCTCAGGCTCCCCCTTGGCCTCGCCCTTGCCGGAGCAGGGGGGCTCGGCAGGCGCATCTCCGCCACCGCAGTAGGCGTTGTCGAAGAAGCGGTCGAAGGCTTGGGGCAAGACGCTGTTCTTGTTGACTGAGGAGTAGAAGCCGGCGGGGGCCGCGTGTGGGGCGCTGGGGTGGTGGTGGCCGCCGTAGGAGCCTTCATTTTTCATGAGAATCTCAGTGACTGTGGAAGGAGGCAAGCACTCCCGGTGCATAAGCTCGTCGGCCGCCGCATAGCAAGACGAGTAGCTGTTCCGATGGTGCCACTTGCCGGACGGCTCCAAGCCGTAGGAGACCTCCCGGACCGGGGGCACCTGGGCTGAGTAGGGATAGGAGATCTGACGAGAAGGGGCCTGGGGCAGGAAGGAGGAGACGGTGGAGAACTCGGGCACGTAGTAAGTGCAACTGGGCAGATAGAGGTTGGAAGCGCAGCTCCCTCGCTCGCCGAAGTCAGCACCCCTCTCCTTGCGCGAAGGCGAGCAGAAGTTGCCCAGGTTGACCGAGTTAAACATCGTTCTCTTCTCCTGCCTGCTCCGGATGGAGGTTTTGGACCCGGTCTAGCGAGGGGGGAAATTTTGGGAAGGCAAGATGACGCGTTATCCGTCTTAGTCTCTCTCCCCGAGCACGTGATCCAAAGTAGATATTGTCATATATCAGTTCGGAACACTTCGCAGACGTAGGAGGGGTTCTCTCTTAGGTAAGATCGGGGACGTTCAGGCGATTGGTTTGCAAACACCGCAGAAACATTATGAAAATCAATTGCAGATTTGTATTCGTTTTTCTCTCGTCACTCCCCTCCTCTCCATTCCACAGAGCAAGCAAAGGAGGAGAAAGAGAGGGTTGGGGTGGGATGGGCGGTGGGATGGGCGGGGGCGGTGGCTGGGAGGGGGTAATTGTATTTTTTTCCTAGCTGCTGCTCCCCCCACCCCCAGGATTGGGGGAAGGAGGAGAGCTTTCTGTTTAGGGGGTCTGGCCTCCTCCTTATGATACACTGAGCTAAGAGGAAGGACTTTTTCCTACCTGATTTCCCCAGGAACAGTGAATCCTCCTCAAGTCTCAGGGACTCTTACGCCTCTACCTGAAGAATCAGCGCCTATTTACAAGAGTTTGAAGTTCTTTAGATTATTTTCCTGGCCAGAGTCGGGTGAGCCCCCTCATAGGACAGGTTCCAAAGAAGAGTATCTGAAGTTTCCCAAAGGTGAGGCAGCCCAGCTATGAGCCAGCGTCCCAACTTTGTCTAGCTTGCTGTGCTGCCGCTGGCTAGAGACTCCTATTAGTCATAAACCAGTGGTGAGCAGCGCGCCAGCCGCCCAGCCGGTGCCTGGCGAAGTCTGGGAAAAACCTTCTCTAATGTTGTGTTAAATATTTAGTATGAGAGAGTGGCCCTGGGTGAATATTTCATGCCTGCCTTTATTGTCAATCAATGTGCAGAAAGCTACATCCACTGTGAATTTTAAAATCCCAAACCCCAAAGAAAAAGATTAGAATGAGAGTCATCTATCTTCTCTCTATCTGGGGCCCTTCGAGTTGGAAGCTCAGCTCCAGCTAATGGGATGAAAAGAAGCTTGGCAATAGGGAACTAAATTGGGGGTTTCTGTTTTTAAAAAAATGATTTTGGGAGCTTAGGTGGGTAGAGAAGCCAGGTGTCTACTCTAGTATCAATCAACAAGACAGTGGAATAAAACTGTGGTCCCAAAGTGGGCAGGGTAGGGCCAGAAGTCCCCAGCCCCTCTCACTGCTTCTTCCTATGTGTCTTCTCCTGCTTCTCAGTCCAACCCTGTCCTCCTCCAAGTCTGTAAGCCTCCTTCCTGGACTGCTGTGTCCAGAGGAGGACTACTCAGTGATCCTGCCTTTGATAGCCTCCCATCCCTTTGGCCATTACAACACACATCTGGGCAGCTGAAAATAACTTTATTGAAAGGTTCTGGACTAGGTCCACAAGGCCAGAACTGGCACAAGCAGAAAGTAACAGTAGACTTGGTCCTAAGAAGGAGCTATCAGGACAGAATACGTTAAAGAAGAATGAAATCCCCAACAACTCAGCCTTGTACTCTTAGGGAAAACCAAAGGTAGTTCCAGCCATCTTTGCATCCTTAAGGCTGGCTGGCTTCAAATTGGTTTTCCTCTTTAAAGTGTATTTGATTTGATTTTCTTTGTTGAAGGGTGAGGCATGGAAGTCCTTAACCAGATAGGGAAGACACAAAAATAGCTAACTTATTTCCAAATATAGCCTCTGAAAGCCATTCCTTCTCAACTCTTTTACCTGTCTAAATGTACTCAGCCTTTAGAATCTGCATCCACCACAATGGGTCTCTGTGTGTGTGTGTGTGTGTGTGTGTGTGTGTGTGTGTGTGTTTGTCCTGAAATACTGCAAAAGAGACCTCCAGTAGTGCTAGGAATTGCTTCTTGTACTTTTCAGTCTTGGCCAGATCTTAACTGAAGGCAAATAACTAGAGTGAGGTAGATCTGTAGAGAAGGGAGCAGAAACAGAAGAATTCATTGCATTTTCCCTTTCCTTTAGTCTTTTTTATAGGTGGAGCTGGGGGCAACATTTTTAATTACGATGGTGGGGCACTATGGACTGTGGCTTTTATAGGGTTTGTGCTGACCTCATTAAACTTGAGTTTACTGGAGGCAAAAATGCTCCCCAAATAGTGATAGAAGCCAGCAAGAGGAAGGCCAAAGGTACCCATCTCTTGCCGAGAGGACAATCTTGGCTCCAGCTTTCCCCACGTTCCCACTAGGTTCTGCTTCCTTCTTCCCCTTGATCTTCTGGGCTGTGTGGGGCCCAATTCCCCTAAGTCTTGTTTTGCATAGCCTGGGAGAGAGGTGGGAGGGGGTGTCTACTTCCTGTGAGAAGACAGCTGTGGGCCTGAGCACTTGAATTTGACCACCAAAGTTTATTCCTGGGCCACCATAAAAGTGAGGCAGGCGGCTGCAAAGAGCAATCTGATTTTCTTGAAACCAAAAGAAAGAAGGCAAGAAGGGTGTCAAGGAGATGATGTCTAGGAAACTTTAGGGTTCTCCCACAGACTTGTGGAAAGGAATATTCTTCTCCATAAAGGCAAAGCGGGAAGTTTTTTTTCCCTCCCCTGGTATTGGTCTTTCAAAAAAAATTAAACAACTTTTTAAAACCTCAGCAACTGGTAATTGCTGCTGGGGTCAAGGAGAGAAGGCTCTGCTTTCCTTGTTCAGTTAGATGTTGATTAACAAAAATTCTTAAGGTAGTAGGGGTGGTGGCCTGCCTGCCTGGCTTTGGGTCCAGACCACCTGGAAGTCTCCACTGGGTTTGGGCCCTCTCAGTCTGGGGTTTGTGGACACAGTATCTTTTACATTTGGTTGGAGGGACACATCTATGGCCCCTAAACCCATCAGTAGCCGGCTCTACATAAGGCAGCAGTTTTCCTTGTTGTTGTTGTTTGTTTTTGCTTTAACCCTCACCTGGTTGATATAGGCCATCCCTCCTTGTGCCTGGAGTCCCAATTTTCACCTAAACTAAATCCTCCTGTGATAACCACCCTACCTCCTGGAGGATTCTTGGTGGGCTGCGTCCCTGCTAGCTTGGCCGTTAGCAGGCCGTGCGGTCTGGGCTGCTGCTGCCTCGGTGGTCTGGCTAGAGCTAGGACAGACTCCAGCGGCCTTCCCTCCCACATAGGGAACAACAGGGTCGGATTCAGAAGGGGGCACTGTCTACTGAATTCTGTCGTGGGTGGTTCTTAGAGCAGCCTCCGGCAAACAGCTCCTTTACCTCCTAGACCTTCCCTGAATTCTAGAGTACAGATCTTGATAAGGGAAAGAGACCACCCCACAGAAAACCCTGGGAGGAAAAAGGAGGCTTTAAATTCAATGAAAAGAAGGACCCTCACGTGTTCCCAAGCTCGACTGGCGAAGGGCTCTTAGAACAGCTAGCATCTTCTTGCTCATTTTTCTTTCACTTAGCAACAAGAGGCATAGAATAAACCTTTATCGTGCTTTGGGATTTTCAAGCTAGGGGTTTATTTTGAACCCGGGACACCCACACCACACCCAGTCCTCAGAGATTCAGAACGCGAAAGACTGCCTGTTTTCTCCCCAGCCCAGGTCAGCGTTGCAAGCCCAAGTTTTCAGGTTAGTCCACCAAAGCGGGTGGCTCTGCTAGAGGAACCTTCGGGGGCCCAGGGACAAGGTAGGGGAGCAAAGAGCAAAGCCTGAGGCTTCCCTGCCTCTGCCGCTCCACCCAGCTTCCTCCCCACAGAGGTTGTAGGGAAGGCTGGCAATGCGACCCCATTTCTCCCATAAAAGCCCCGTTTTATGAGCCAGTTTCACTCCCCACCCCACCCCCAAATTCTAAAATGAAGAACCTGTCTTAAGAGCAGTATGGAGGTGGAGCCGCTGCCATTGGGCCTTAGTCTCCAAAGCTAGTTGTGGCCCCACAGAAAAGATATTTTCTGTGGGAGGTTGCCCTTTTGGGCCACCGGGATCTCCCTCCTTGCTGCTGCAGCGGAAAACCGGCCGGGTTGGGTTGGCCGGAGGGCCATTCTCTCTCCCCCCCCCCCCCGCTTTAGCGCCTACTTAGGCTCGGGACCCAGTCCCTGCTGATCAAAGTAAGCTCTCGGCATTTTTATGAGATCAACTTCAGTGGCTCCTTACTTGTAATCAGACGCCTGGGTCGAAAATGCAAAAGGGAAGAACTCAATCCAAAATGGAAAAGGAGGGAGGGAGGGAGAGAGCGAAAGGGAGAGGAAGGGAGGGGGAGAGAGAGGGAGAGCGAATAAAAAAAAAAAAATAAGGTGACACAGAAGATCCCAGTCACCCACGAAAAAAGACCCCTTGCTCCCAGCAATAATAGTCTGTGGGTCTCTCCCAGCTTCCAGGACCTGCCTTCTGCTAGCACATTGGCCGAATTTTGAGCCCTAATCCCAGGGCGGACAGAGAGAAGCCCTGACTCGCCAGTGCTAGGAAACTCTATCCGAAGCTTCCACAGTGGAACCGCCTTGCGTGGGTGAGGTTATGGCCTAGAACTGCACAAGAAAGACACCTTCTGCTCGCGCTTTAAGTCTCCCCCCTCTTGCTGCCTTCCTCCGCGGTCATCTCTTCACTACAGCCAGAAGTTGAGTTACAGGAAGATTCACCAGAGATTTATCGCCTGGCCCCAAACTTGGAGAGCCTCGTTGTCATAAACAGCCCGTCTATTGTCTAGACTTTTATCTCCGGGTATGGATCTGGATCTTGCATTAGTGAGGCTCTGGGGATACGGACTGTCTCCGTGGTGTGTGTAGTGCAGCCGGTGGCTGCTGGCGGCGGCGATCACTGGGGGTTTGTTTGGGTCAGTTTAGAAGCATGAACAAATCTGTTCTTGGAGCTGTACAGGTATACCTAAGTATCCACAGTATCCAAGGGAGGAAGCCTGGGATGGGGAAGGTCTCTTTCTCTCTCTGCCTGGGAATGTTCTGGTGCGTGTACTTGTGTGTTGGGTGAGAATTTGTCATGGTGTGCTTTGTTCTGGGCATTTTAAGTGTTCCTGTCTGGGCTTTTTCGGGTTTTATTAACCTGCATCCGCTTGGCTGGTTTATGTCTCTTCCAAGGAGATCATCTGGTGTTTTTCAGTATCAAAGTCTATTGTGTGTGCTGGCTTCCTTGGGGAAACGGTTTGGGGTGATGCCTTCTCAGCCCCTTGTCCGCTCAGGTTCTCCTTCAAGCCACATCCACAGCTTTGGCCTTCACAGGGTGCCTGGCTCTGCCTTACTCTTTTCAAGTCCCCCCAAATCTCCAAAAGCCTGGCAGTTTTCTGTCATAGGCATGGAAA